TTGTTAGACACTGGAACAGGCTGCCCAGGGAAGTGGTGGAGTCACCATCCCTGGAAGTCTTTAAAAGACTTTTAGATGTAGAGCTTAGGGATATGGTTTAGTGGGGACTGTTAGCGTTAGGTTAGAGGTTGGACTCGATGATCTTGAGGTCTCTTCCAACCTAGAAATTCTGTGATTCTGTGATTCTGTGTGTCTCCATGTCTGTGTAGGCAAGCCACCCTAAGGAAGCACATCTCTGATCCACTTTGGACAGGGACCAGAAGGTGGTGCAGTCGCATGGCTCTCAGCATGATAGTCATCAGCACCTTCCTATTTGAGAAGTAATCAGGAATCCTGAAATGGCTCATTACATCCATAGTGTGATCAGGTATCCTGCCAACTTTTCTTTTTCAATATACTTTTTTCTTGACTTGTAAACAGAATGAAAGGCAGCAAGAGTAAGTTGAACTCCTTCCAAAGTAGGGCATGTCCTTAGAAACTTTGGCTTTTAATGAACCTTATCTAAAGGAGTACATATAGCTTCTGTGGGGCAGCAAATTAAATCCCTTTAGTTATATGTTTGGGTTCTTCTGGCACAAACCCTAAAAGCCTAAAATACTTTTCTAATCTATATTTTGGTGGTGCATGCTTTGGTGCTTCTCAGCTATTTGCTAAATTAGAATGAGGCATTACAGAGGGCTCAGAGCCAAGAAAATACTTGACCTACCCTCTTCTGCAGTGCTCCGGAACTAACCTAGAGTCAACTGAGGCAACAGACACAGTATTTACAAATACACCAGACAAAGGACCTAGTTTTATGCATTTATTTCCAGTAACCTTGTAGCTAAACAAGTGTATATACCTCAACAGTCTTACGTTACGGAGCAGTTTTAGACAAATTAACTGCATTTGCTGTGTTCAACCACAGCCTCTGTTTATCTGGTATTGGCTGAAAAGTTTTTTCACATGTTTGGTTTGACAGATGTTATTGTGGAAGTCCGTGCTATAGGTTTTCTCAACATTTGCTGAATCATCTTATTGTTGTTATGGACTTTAGTAGCATGTCAGCATAGAATGGCCATTATTGGTACACATATACAGATATGTGCAATGTGGGGTCAGAAGCAGGACCAATGTCTTTTTACTCTTCAGTGAAAAACAACTTCTGAAAATGGCCTTTTGTGCTTATTGTAGAGTGTGATCTAGCTGACTGGTTTTATTTACTTGCTGACATCAACAGAAAGCTCCCAATTAACATCGTCTGACTTTAGTTAAAGTCCTTAATTGTGTTTTTTATATTCTTCTATGTAGCAGCCTCTTCAGTCCTTGCTAAACTCCTCCAGAAGAAAAAATCTTGTAACCTGGTTTTGCAAATCAGGCTTTTGGAAGTGACCAAGCAAATTAAGATTTAGCAAAAGATTCCACAGCATTTTCATTTAGGTGGGTCAAATTTCTGCTATCAGCTGGATAGGAATAATGATGACATATGTACACAAGTATGGTACATGCATATGTAGCATAGAGTTAGTAAAGTTTTTAGTGTACCTGGGATTAAAATGGATACCTATACCCAGCTCACACAAATGAAGGGGAAATGTAAACGAAGTCTTAACTATGTCTAGATCAAGATTCTTCTTCTGTGGTTTTATTTTCCTTGCAGTAGCCAGGTAGCTTTATACAGTTTCTTGGACTTTATGGGTTTTGGCCAGTAAAAATATTCAGTTGAATTAAATTGCAAAACACACTTTTAATCTATCTATTGAAAATAAAATTAAGTACCTTGTCAAAACTGATTTTCTGTGGAAGGTGGAATATTTTACTGTAATACTTTAGCACAAGTGAAAAGTTGATTTATAGCCTATAGTATAGTAAATAGCAACTGTTCATATGTGTTGAACATTTTGTAGTATTTAAAGAAGATGCTAATTCATAATGGACAGTAAAGCCATCTCGTGCTTTAGTAGAGACAGTAAGTTTTCATTATGGGATTTCTGAGTATCAGTTTGTTTATTCTTTTTTAAAAAAGATGCAACTCATGTTTCACTTTTTAAGCACCTCTTATGATGGTTGAAGTTTTCTGTGTGGAGAAAGAGAATCACAACAAAGATTACAGACCATGAACTTCAACAAATTTCTGTTCTTAGATGGGCTCGGACATTAATCTGCACTAGACTTTTGCCCAGTGTGTGTATTTCATTTTATGTCTTGATCAGTATTGCATAATGTATGGGTCACTTCTCAAGAAGAACTGATACATTGTAAAGGACTTTATTCCATTTTAAGCTAGAAATGTCCTTAAAAAGGCAAAGCCTGAACTCATACAAAAACTCACTTTACAAACTACTAGTTTTACTTTATGAGGCTTGCACATATACCTGAAAATGCAGACTATAAATTCCACTGGAATGTGTACTCAGGAAAAAAAAAAAAAAAAGTAGTCTGGAACAATAAAAGAATATTTTAATGCTGTTAAGTAGCAGTACAGTAGCAGTACATATATGTACACTAGACAGGGTCACACCTTGGCCAGAACAACTTTTGTGGGCTTTGGTTCTGCTAGCAGCACAATGCAGAATACTAGGAATTCCTAACTGTATTTAAAGTCATTGTGATTCCAGTGGTGCGAAGTTTATATCCTATTTACAGCATACCATAATTCCTGCCAGTGTTGTATTTGAACTAACTAATGGAAATAACTAATGGATAAGATTTTGGTATAACTATATTGTGAAATAGCATCGTTATTTGTATGTATAAATTAGATAGTGTAGCTAGACTTATCTGAAAATGGTTGCTTTTGAATAGTCATATTTCAGCAAGATCAGAATTTTGTTCATCTGGACTTTGTTTTTTAGTTAATGTTTTTAAAGTCTACTAATTAAAAAGTCTTCCTACAGATAATACTATGGCATAGGAGAGTGTATTCTACTCTGCCTACCACAGCTTTAAATTATAGGAATAAAAATAATCATTGTTCATTTCCACTAATTCTTGAGCTCATTGTTTGGGTTTTATATCTTCAGATCCCGTTGATTTTTAAAGAGACTAAACCAAGATTATCAGAAGGAACAATGTAAGACTTTATCCATATTGCTTTATAAATCCTTAATCTGATAGGTATGGTTTTGGAAGCAAGTAACTATTACACACTTTAAGAGTCTCAGACCATCCTTCACCTCATTTTAATTTCTTAAATGAGCTGCCTCTTTCAGTAAGACGACTCAGTTTTATTCGCTTCGTAACCAAACCTTTGCAGACACTGGCCACATGCATCACTGGAACAGAAACGAACAGAAATGTGCTGTTACGTTAAAAGGAATGTAATGGGAGGGTGACAACAAATAGGTAATTTTGCAACTTGCTTCATTTTCACAGAACAGTATCTCTAAGCTTTATGAATATTACATAATGCAATGTGTCACCAGTTACGTAAATTCTAAACACAGTCACTTTCTCTGTTTGCTACATGCTAGAGGTGCTACAGATTGGAAAGAGCAGGGTTCAGTGTTAGGTAGTATGAGGGCATAGCCAGCCTTTCAGGCCTCAGACCTGATGGGTAATTGTCTGTTTCTGTTTGATCCTGTCTCAATCCATCTCCTAACAATACCAGTGGGAGTTTCACTTGAGACAGCCTTCAAGATTTGGCCTATTTAGTTTGTGACAAATAATAGTATACAGCCTCTTGCCTGCCAAATCCTGAGGACTCATTTTTTTGGAAGGAAAAAAAAAAAAAAAAAAAAAAAAAAAAGTGGTATTTATTTGTTGGCCTCTTACTTTTTCCCAAATATAATTATTTTCAGTTACACTGGTGAACATTGGTAATTAAAATTTGATTCCACGATAGTTGTTTTAAACAGGTGATTGTTTGCCTCCAAGTCTAAAATATAACTACAAAGACCCTCCTCTGTAAAAGTTCAAGGTCTGATACTTTTATTTGCACTGCAATGCAGTGTGAGTAGATCCACTGTAACCACTTTAGTAAGATGCTACTAAGGGGAAAGGTGTCATGTAGTAAGGGTCAAATAGAGACCAAGTAAGACTGGCAGTTAAGGTTTCATTTATGAAAAAAAGTTTCTTCTTTGACTGTTGAGAATACTAAATGGTATTACTGACTGGAATTTGTGCCCAAGGCACCTTAAAATTTAGTTTCTCCAAGTTTCTAAATCACAGTTTTCAAGTCATTCATGCAATTGACTTTATCTAAAAACAAGTTTCAATGTTAGAAATGACAATAGTGATCATTAAATCATTCAAGTGATGTTAAATTGTTCCCATTAGCACAAAAGCATACCTTTATAGTGAGTTTGTACAACTCAATCTCAAACGTGGTCCAGTTGAAAATAGCAAAAGCACAGAAGCACATCCTGAGCACTTAAGTCCAGTGCTGTATCTATCCACTGTGGGAGGCCTGATTACACCTGGAGATCTTGGGAGAGTTGTGTTTCTGGTTTTCCACCATCTCCAAGACCTTAAGCAAAAGCTAAAACCAAGCCTCAATTTTCTGTTTTGGCTTTAGGCAAGCTACCGGCTAAGAGCTACTTCCTAGCTCTTTTGATGTGGTCTTTGTGAGGATCTTTGATTCTAGTGGGAACATAAGAGCTCCTGGAAGGACATTCCTAACACTGAAGCAAAATCTAACCTGTTCATACTGGACCACGAAAAGGACGGGTTAAATTCATTACCTTTTTCCTGTAACTCCAAACAAACCTCTCTGTTGTACCTTGCAAAACAAAGGTAATTTAATATGTTCATCTGTTCAGGATCATCAGCAGATTTGGTGCTGGAAAAGCATCACTTACTGCAGAAAGAGAAGGCTGGACCACTGTTTGCTGGGAAGGCAGGGTGGCACCCTTGGACTCTAATCTGCTAATTTGTGGTGTTTTGAGCAAGGAGACACCTAAGCAGTCCGTACACTGATGATTCAGCACAGTGCAATTTACTGTTCATGCTCCAGGCCACATCACCCACAACCCAACCAGCAGATTAGCACGACCAGTATGATTTAAATGGTTTAGAGTCAGTTTTAAAAATCACATCAACAGAATGTTTATTTGTCTAGCAGATTATGTGTCTTTTTCACAGTCTTTCAGTTGCTTCTTTTTTGACGAGTAAAGTCTTTATTTCAGGCATCTGCCTATAGAAAATCAGTGTGCTTTTTTTTTTTTAAGGGCACATTTAAAGATGAAAAATGAGGTTTGAATAACAGCATACAAATTACACAGATATAAAAGTTCTCTTTCATTGTCTTAACTTACAGTTTATTTTGTACAGAATTCATTATGTTATACATCTAAGACTTATACTGTATAAATATCTTGGGTGTGGTGTATATACATATTCAGTGTTATAGATTCAGCAATTAATGTATGCATTTAACAATACACTATAGTGTATTTCAATGTAGTGCACATGATTTATATTTCAGAAAAGAGCATATCCTCTATGAAAAATTTATATTTCATTCATAGGGTACTCTACCTTGAAATATAGTTGTTTTCCATTATATCATGGACTGTTTGTTGTGTATTGTATGGCTGTAAGATTTTCTTATACATTCCCCAATCTGAATTAAGAAACAGCAGCTCAAAACATTAATCTATGTGGTTGTACATCAAGAGGAGAGCAGGGCACTGGATTCCTAAATTCTTACCTAAATGAGAAAGAATGCACAGACAAACCACATGGAGCTAGGCTGTGTGATGTCCAAATGAAGTAAAATGGTCTGAGCAGATGATAACTGCTAGTTCTTGCTTCTGTATTCTGTGTGTGCCAGCTCTTGAGCTGGCATCAGTCGCTCAGCTCTGACTTACAAAAGCTGAGGGTCCAGCATCATCTTTGTTTTTATAGTTCACAAACTCCTTATATTTCATTGATCCACGCCTTGCTTTCAGTATTTTTCCTGGCTATTTCCTTATATGTGTATTGATACTACATAACTGCATGTTATCTTTCCTAGATAGCAGGCGAAGAAACTTACCTACAGTGCCTTTTCTGTACATGCCATAAATAAGATGCTTTGTTTATTCAGCATCAAATTACAGGTGTTGCCTCCCTGGGCACCTACTGAAGCATAATTCTAATTAATCTGTCAGTATAGCTTCTGTTTTTTTGTTGACAATTCTAGTTGCTTGCAAACATACATATTGTGCCTGTTAATCACTTGGCTTCCTTTGCTCAGTAGTTTCAAAACTAGAGATACTTTTATCAATGTACAAATGCTGTTCATTTCTTAGAAAAGCAAAATATTATATATTCCATGAATAAAAAGCTTTCTTTTCAAGAAAAAAAAGGGGGGGGGGGGGGAGGGGAAGGGGCTGATTCACTGAAAAAAAATTTGCATCTGAAAATTGTTTCATTTCTGGTTTGAATTATTTTTAATTTAATTTACATTCAAAGTAAGTTGTTTTGAAACTAAAATTTGATAAAAACAACTGTACGTTAACTCAGAACTATATTTTGCATCTATTACATTCACCTGAATTATTTTCTTTCTGATTTTGTGAGAAGTAGCATAAACTCTTAGAGGAGCATAAATCCAGAACAATTCCACTTATTTTAATGGTGTTGTCCCCATGCTACTGAGACTAGAATTCTCTATTCCCATTTCTGTTCTTTGTTGTATGTATTGCTGTTTCTCATTTAAGAAGTTTCATATAAAAACAGGTGATGTAAAAAAAAAAAAAAAAAAAGGAAAAAGAAGGAAAAAGAAAAAAGAAAATAGAAAAAAGAAAAGTTATATGACTGCAGTTTTATAAATTCTTTTTCACCATTGCCAAATGTGGAGAGGGGGGTCATTTTTGTGGTGGGCTACATCCAATGCCTCTCTTTAACTGAACACCAGTAGTGGCTATCACATTTCTAATCAGCTGTATCTATAATTTAACTTTGGGATTGATAACGTGTGTAATGCCTGTGAGTGTGAAAGTCCTGACTGTACATAAGCCAGCCACTGTATGTTCAGCCACTGAGCCACTTAACCAGAGAACTTCAAGACCATGCTGACAGATGCTTACCTAGACCTTTACCATCTGGTGGTAAATAGAACAGAGCTTGTTTACACTTTTGTTTCTACTCCAAAGTGTATTTTATTTATTCTCTCAGTTCAAACACCAGAACGGAAGCATTTCCTCCCCAACACTTAAGAGTTCTGGATCCCTGTATCTGTCTTCTGTAGCAACATCTGAAATGTTTGCAAGCCATGTGGTAAATGATAAAAAAGCCTCAGGTCTCCTTTAATGGCTTCTAGCCATGTCCACATTGCATGTAGGACGGTCCCTTGCCACGCAATAGCATGCAGAGTGAGGGTACAACCACTCACAGGTGCTATGGACAACCAGGGACCAGGCCCCAGATACAAGCTCAAGGAGATGGCAGTGTGACAGTAGCAAAGCACGCTAACTCAGTGATACATCTACTCTGGAGCTATGGCCCTTGAAGAGCCACTTCCTGACCAGGCCAGTAAAGCCTGTAAAAGTCTATTGTTACCTAGTGTTACCTAGTAATGATCAGAACAGCAGAGGAGCACAACTCTAAGTCGCTTCATTCTGTGTGGCAGACTGACTGGGGGTGGAGTTCAGCACCTGCTGGTGTAATTAGCAGAACTGGGGCCACAGTGAAGAGGTGGGTTACAGAGCCCAGCACACTGCTGTGAGGTTGTAGTGGCACTGGTAAGCTGGTGGGAGTGCATTCATGAGAACAGCAATCCTGCTCACCCTCTGCAGCTACTGTCACCGAGTTGTTGTGTCTGATTCCTAGATGAGGTTTTCCTGTGATTGCTTTATACTCATTTACATTTGTGCAAATGATACTCTTGGTTTATGGCTGGGTCTAATACAAAATAACATTTTGAGAAGAGATACTAAATTTAAACAGGGACTTCTTTTTTTGTCTGATGTTAATCATGAGGATCATAGTAAGAATAGTTCCTTATTAGATCTGGATCATTAAAAGAGGAAAGAACATTTGTTGAAGATCCAAAGATTTTAACTGATGCACAAGTACCACATCCCTTATCAAATTGAAACATTTCTGTGGTCTGTTATTTTATCTGCTTAAAATTGGATTATAACAGATGCCATCACCACACTATGCAGTTCAATGCCAGCAAGTCTTTAATATCTTATATAAACCTGGTGTCCTCATTCTCCTTTGTAGTCTCACTATCAGAATTCTAGTATTTTATAGTAGTTACACTAAACATGTTCTGAGCTATGGCTTAGGAACCAAACGCAGAATTTCCTTGAATGAAAGTTGTCTGCTCTGTTCCAATATCAGAGCTGAATTAGAAAATTCAAATCCAATCTCAGTCTACCGGAAAGATGGGAATTATGACACATAAGGCAATTGTAGTTTGGACCTTGTGTATATTGCACAAGATCCATCATAAGAACATGTGCTTTACTCTTGTGGGTTTTTTAATCATTATGTAGTTTCATTTTTTTCCTATTGTTTTCAGCATATTTCAGTTATTCTTCAATATAAAAATGCACGTAATGCATGTGCGAGAGCAACTTTGAATCTGCAACATGTATTCCTTGATAAAACTGCAAATAGCCACTTTATAATGTGCCCAGTATGCCTTTTCTTTCCTGCTCCCTTTTTAAATGAAACACAGTATAAATGTTTTCTCTTTAGCAGCCATAAGATCAGTGATGTTTTAGACAAGGTCTGGGGCATTATTTGTTGTACATGGACTTCTACGTCCTGCTAAATCATCAATGTATTAATGTATTAGTAAAGAGTAAACTGACTCCAAGCCTTTCTTTATTTGCTAGGAAATTTCCTTCATATTCTATGCATCTCAATACCATATGTGGCTTTCTCATTCTGATAATGTGTTTTGTCAACCAAGCTGCTGTTTCAGAAAAGTGTTTTCCATTGGATTGTGTGTTGTTTGGTTGGAGGTTACCTTTTCATGTTAGCAATAACAAAAGTAAACCCAGGGCTACTCCTTGATTTTTATATTCCAGGGTTTATTATTGTATTTACAGTTCCCTGTAAGAAGATACAACCCTTTCCCGGTAAGAGTTCTAATACCTTTCTATGTTTCAAATACTAACGACCCATATACCCATATGGAAAGGAGAAAGATAATCAGTGTTGAAGGAGTTATCTCTAGGGGCTGATGCAGATGAATAGAAAACTTAAATCATTATAAATATTACTGTACTACACTTTGGTACAACCAAACAAAAAAATCCTCCCAAGAAAATAATGTTCCCTAAGTCAAATAAAATTCATAAACAATAAGAAAACAAATTAACCACATGTTTGTTTGTTTTTTTTATATGTGTAAAAAATAGTAAGACTACTTGGCTGCATTGCACATAGGCAATAAAATTAGGTTCATTCAAATCCCTTTTAATGTACGCCTTGTTTCAGGTTGTAAGCAAGATATGTCCACTGTGCTTTACAAAGGACGACGATTAGAAAAATCAATGCAAACAAAGATCCCTTTCTTTTCTGATTAACCATTTATCATGAGAGATGACAAACAAATGAAGTCTCCTCTGAGTCTGAGCGTAGTTGTATTAGCATTTTGCTAGTACCAGGCAGTATTCAAAAACAGCCATCGTGTGTGACACCTCCAACACCTACAGGTAGCTGTTTTAGGGGCACATCCTGGTTTGTGGTGAAACAGCTTTAACTCAGCCAGCCTCTTGTACCTGCTCAGTGATATCAGCTTATCATCTCAGTAACTCCAAGGTTGGGCTGTCTTGCTCCTATTGCTGACTGGACTGACTGCTCCACCATCCATAAACAGAAGGCATAAAGGTGATTACAAACATAAGAAAGTAGTTTTACATATTGTCTTGCAGTCTTTCCATATAGTCCCTAAGTTCCTTGGAATCACCAAGGTTCATATCTTGGCATACCCATTTAATATTATCATCACTGTCAAATAGAATTGAATTGGTGTAGGGGCCTCCATCCTCTGGCAGTATTGTTGTATAGGAAGTGAACTTCACTCGCTTCTGCTTTGGCCCAGAAGGGTTTATAGGTTCACTTTTAACTTCTTTTTCACAAATGTACTCAGAAGATCTGAGAATATGATTATGAAGAGTCTTCTGAGAACTCCCATTAAGGAGAAAGTTGCTTTCTTCAAACTGCATTCCTCTATCAATCATGGTAGTGCACTCCTCCGATTGGAGTGAAATGTCAACTGGGTTCTCCAGGAGTTCAACCTCGTTTCCAAGCCAGACCCAATCATGGGAATGGGGGATGTTGCCTTGCTCACTCACAGCAAACCTTTTATGCCTGTATTTCCAAGCAAATGCCACACAGTTAATCAAAAAGACCAAGATAGCTAAGCAGAAAACACACAGCAGGGCGTACATGCCAATTTCCAAATCTGTTAATCCCCTTGAAGTCAATGTGAGATCACTGGGATTGTTTTCTCCTGGTATTTCTACTTGTGCAGGGAAACCTGTAAAGGCAGTTGGGTTATTTTGGAGCTGGTCATCATCAAGGGACTCCTGATCAATGGGAGATATGAAAGTTGTGCTTTTGTTTGCATTGTCCTCGTGATTACCAAGGGCTCCATTTTTGGACCATTCCTGTGCTATCCTATCTTCTTCTGCAGGTTTTTCTATAGAATTGCTTGCATGGCTTTTAAAATCTCTATCTGTCTCATCAATGTCATTACTGCTTCCTTTTTGGTCAGCATCTTTTTGACCAAACTTCACTTTGATGCTACCTTTCCCAACAGCCAGAATGCTCTTTCGCTTAGTCTTCTGACATGGTTCACTGATGACCATTTCAATTTTAATCAGAGGTCCTTGCCCATCCCCTTCTGCCACTACCCCAGGCCATTTTGACTGAAGGTTTTGGTGCGTAGACACTACCATCTCATCCAGTGAAGTGATGGTGATCGAGAAATCCTTGGAGTCATAAATATCTAATGGTGTCACTGACCCATCACTGAACAAAATCCAAGCACTGACTATGGCTTCCTGTAAGGGAAAGAGAATAAAAAAAAAAAAAAAAAAAGTGTGAAACAAGCACATAGGCGATACTCTGTTGTTTGTTTGACATCAGCAAAATAAACACACAGTTTAGCTTTGGTGTATTTTCTTTTCCAAAGAAAAAATGAAAATGTCTACTCTGCTTCTCATTTTCGTTTTGCAATTTTGTGTTCTCTAGACCATTAGGCATTTATCTCATCTTCAGTAACTGTCAAAGATACAGTCATCTAAATTTAATAAAAATTGCTGACAAACATTTTTTTTCCAATTCTTTTTTTAAGTCTTAAATGAGACTCCTTTTTTGAATGTCAGGGCCCTGTGATGAAAATAATTGTATTTTTAAAGGCCTGGTTAATTAATTTTATAAAGGTCCTATAACGAGGAATCTCTGTAATGCTGCAGTTTCAATGATTTACTTAATACCATGTGCAGAGCTGTTACAGGTTGATCCCATGATGATCCCATTCAGCCCATTGAAACAAACTGGGTTAAGGAAAACACCTCAATGCATTATTTTAAATTTTCTGTTATGCTTTCAAATATACAAGATTTTGTGAAATGTACAAAAGTGATTGTAAAATCACTTTTTGATTGAAAAAGGTCTTTGTGGAAACTACAGAAGCACTCAAAACTCCACCATTTTTAAGAAGGTTTTGACCAAAAAAATTTGTCCTCTTACTACAAATTACTACCACTAAAAAGATAGTTGCCCTTTCTCTACTGATATAGAGTATCAATTCTATGATAAATATAATGAAAAAGATATATGTACTTTATTCTGTGGTCTTACTCAGATTATACCATTCAAATGAGCCCAAATCCATAAAATTTCAGCAAGGGACACCATGAAAACTTCTGTACATAGAGCCAGAAGGTTGTTTTGGCTGAACTGACTTAGAGACCTTTCAGGCATGGGATTTCTACCTCTGCATATGGAGCTAACCCATATTTAGCTATAGAAAAAGATGTGTCTCAAGTGCACCTAAATGCCTTCTACATCATTATGCGTGCACAAATACAGCCATCACTTTCCCAGTGCTATGCAGGTCTAAATTAGTTCTGGAGAGTTTAATGTTCATCCTGTGTGGGTGTTTGTACTTGTAGGAGTTGATTACTAAGATGAAGAGCATTTACGATGTGAAGTTACTGCCTTTCACAAAGTTATACAATTGTATGTGCAGTCTAAATTTAAAGCAAGTAGCTTTTCCCTGGTTTCTGACAAAAATGAAGTAAACAAAACAATTATTTTTGTACCCTATTTTGGATCATACCTGTTTTGGAGTATGAAGAATATCATACGCAGAAGTGGTAGAAACAATAGCTCTTTTATTTCCTTTGCTGATTTGTAAGGAAAGAGACAAGCCTGAAACTAGTTGTACTCCTAGATCTGTAATAGTTACACGGTCATCTAGAACTACCACTGTCTTCTCCGCCAAGATGGAATCAGAAAGAGGTGACAGAACCTTGAAAGAGAAAAGAAATGCCATGCATGAAACAGGAGCTAACTGTGTTAGAAAGCAAGATTAGATTCTAATTGGCATAACACTTTGGTTAATCTCAAATTTGTCACATTTTATGTATATAGTTCATGTTTCCCCCAAGAGATTAGACTTGTTTGCTGCTAAATTACTGCATTTCCAAAATAATTTATTAAAGCATTTTATCATTTCAATATGGAAGCCTCATTTCAACTATGAAGTATAGTTTAAATTAAAGGGATTATTTTTTAAAGTTATTTTTGTATGGTCTGTAACATTTCCAGTGAATGCTGTATAGTACAAAACATTGTGTAAGACACTGATTAATGCTGAAACTCAGTAAGTGTGACTACACAGAGACTGGGTGATAGGAACTTGGCCTGATGCCTTTATGAGAACAGAGGTCCTGAAGGAAATGAAAGTAAGATTTACAAAAGGATTTTGAGAAATCCCACTGGGTTCCTGTCTTCATCTTTCCATGCCAAATAGTCCTGTCAGTTTGCTTTAAGACTTTGTTTCTAACATGCTCAGGAGATAAATCATCTTTCAACTGATTCCAGAGACAGATGGATCAAGCCCCAAATACTTGATGTGCAAATCATCTAACCTAACATCAGGCACCTACATTGCAGCTATGTGCATCCGTGCTAGCTGCCTTCTGGTCATTTGTAGTCACTGAAGAGAAAGATTATCTAAAGGGCAGAAATCCCTTGACCTCTCTGTGATGTTTGTTTTAGGCTGATAGGAACTGAGCCCTAAACGTACCTCTTTCTTTGTGTTGACTGCATAGGAAACTTAGTGTGACTGGAATGTTATGGATGCTTACAGTTTATCTCTAATGCTCATAATTCCTTTATTTTGATTTACAAATATGAATAAAGTTAGATAGATAAGTGAACATGAACACTCTGAAAGATTTCTACAGAGTGTTTTTATGTTCCATTTTTTGTGTTTCATTTTGTGAACATAAAGGGACTAATTTAGGCATGTAAAGATGCATATAGATCTTGGGTAAAATTTTCTGTTGGGTTCATAAGATGCCACTGAAATAAAAAAAAGCTAGTTGTGGGGATCGTGTAACTTGCTTCACTGTTCACGAAATCCCACTGTGTTCCTAAGTCACATTAACATGGATAAATCCCTTCAGAAGTTTCACCTGAAGTATACAGTATTTCACATAAAGTTTCACCTATTGTACAGAAGCAACAAACAGCAAAAATTAAAACCTGTTCAGACTTGCTTTTATGCTTCTACTGAAGCTGTAGTGACATCTTAGGCTGTACCTGAACTGTGGTGATGCCATGCTCCCGACCAACCAGCACTCGGCCATCCTGAAGCTTAGCAATCTTGGGTTCTTCTACCTTCATGAAATCAGTCACAAGGTCAGTGATGTCAAACTGCCACTCAGAGCCTAGCATGTAGGTCAAGTGGCCTCCAAGATCAGAAGATTCAGCTACAAACTGGGTGAGGACTCGCACCATGGCATGCTGATACTGAAGGGTGCAACCTCTTCCTTTTTTCTCATCATCCTCTTCGTCCTCACTGTCACGAGTAGGCCTGTAAACAGATCCATGTTTACTGAATTGCCATGATCTCTGTACAACATTGCAGAGCTCCATTTGCTCATTATTTTCAATTAGATTAACATTAGCATCATCTGTTACCACATGAGAAGCAGGGAAACAGATTTTGGAAGAGTGATTACTAAATCTGAGTGATAAGCTTGTACAGATTTTGCACTGTACCATCGAAAAGCTGCTGTCACATCAATTAGTCAATTCTTTGTTTGAGTGGCACTGCCCAGCAACTTGCAGATATAGTTGTCATGGCTGAGATGTCAGTGGATCCACTGCCTGTTCACCTTGTCTTCACTTGGCAGTCAAAGCCTGCAGAGGGCTAAGGAAAGCAGCCTGAAAGTTTTATGACAGGGCAGTTCTGGAACAAACCCCTGTAGCAGCTCTGTAGGGGGCCTTGACCATAATATTTGTATCACTTTGTTTTCCTCCTCAAAACTATTTTAACACAATCAGGAATCCCTGCTTATGTAATGCTTCTCCACCTTATCACATATCGCTCATTAAGCCCTCTACATTTGAGGCATATACCATGATTTAGCCTTAAATCTCTTATAGTTCATCCAAGTGTCTGCTATATTTAATCATGTAACAGCTACATGGAGCTTCCAAAAAAAAACAAAAAAAATCAAGCTATGCACTTAAATTACTACTCAGGACATCCCTTTTGCTGATGTACACTGTCCCAGACTGGTGGGACTCACTCTTAGGAATAGGTGCAGCATTAGGTACACTTCCATTAATGTTTTCTCTTTCCCTCTTGAAAAATATAACGCATGACAATATAACAGTTTTTCTTAAGCCTTTTATAAGGCATCACAATGATTTGTACATATCAGGGCTGGTCACATCTCACAGAATTTTCCCTGGTTTAATACTCACTCTCCCATCAATTCTTTTTTATTGTTATTGTTTATTCCTTGGGGCAAACACATGGATTTTTCTTATCACTTGCAAGTTAGGTATTAAGCTCTAGGTGGTTGCATTTTTCCTCATTATACCCTCATGCTGTGGAATTCATTGTTCAGAAATATTTTGCCTTCCTTCTTTGCTCATTTACTGAGCCTGAGGCAACTTTATAGCAAGGGTGCAAAATAAAAGGGTAAGCCTCTTATTTTTCACAGTATTTTGGGAAGTAGTTTTGTGTTTACTGTGTTCCTTTATCATCCCTTTTGAAATACCAGCTATGAGAAACTATTATGAAACAGAATCGCTTTTGTTATAAATTGTTTTATGACAAAGTTGGCAAACCGTAATACTGAAAATGTATCTTAGAAAAGCCCTTGTGCTTGTCAAAATGCTAGAAAGTCCTGGTGTTACAGAATCTAATTCACTGGAAATATATTCTCAATGCATCATTTGTTAGCTGGATATATATATATTCAGAGTCAAGTTAGTGGTATTTGGTACAGCCTTCTGGTGTTGTGTGTGTGAAACAAGTGTCCATCATTAGTCAATGAAGCATCACTGAATAACCACTGAATTAAGACAAAACAGTGTCCTAAAATAGGATTTACAATACACCAAGAAGTTAGACCAGCTGAGTAGTTGAGGCAAATTTTCAATTGTTCTCTCTGTCCCAACCTGAGCTGCAGCCTAGACTAGAAGCTGAAGCAAACCAGTCAGCAAAACAGCCACAGGGACAGCACTAGAAGGGATATTCATAGAGCTTACCTGACCCACACCTATTTATATGTCGTTTGGCTTTATAATGCTGTACAAGAGTTCATGAACTCTATAAGGTTCTAACTGCCAATTTATTCCTGTATTATGGCCCCATTCAGCTTATCTAAACCATAACCCAGCTCTGAATAATCTCAAGCTTTGGAAAAACCAAGTTTAGTCCTGAGATGTGGGCTTTGTCTCTGTTTTATTACCACAGTCAGTACTATTAGTATCTGTGTAGAGTTGGAGAAGAAAGCTCAGGAAATATTCATGTGAGAAGTACTTACCAGATTTTGGGGAAAATCCCCCAGGCCACAGAATTAGTGGGAACCAATTTTCTTATGGAAAAAGAGACACAGAACTGGTGTTCTGTGATGTGAAGAAAAATGTTCATATTCAACATTACAATGACTTAATTGTTTTTACACTACTCTGTTTTCTTCTTTATCTTTGCACTACCAGATATTTAACTCAGATCCAACATGTTACTCCTATTCATATTTGTTGTACTTAATTATTTTTACTTTCACTGTCTAAAACTTTAGTCTGTTTATGAGGAAATAGAGACTAGACAAGTTCAAGAGAGAGAATTGCTTCAGTCCCAGGCCCGTACAGCTCAGAAATGTGAGCTGTGGGCAGCATGACCAAAAGGTGTGAGGAAAGCTACATAAGGGCAGAGAGGAAGCACTACTACCTGTATTATGAGGCTTTGGACTATGTGGGCAGCCAGTGCTAAAAGATGATTCAACCCCAAGTATTTTCTTGTGGTATCTCAAACAGACAAAGGGTTCCATTTCCTTTACAAAAATATTTACAGCTGTTGGTATCTGTCTATTTCTTCTTATAAGTACATGGTTTCTATTGCATGCAAATGTGGAACACCAGAAAAGCATTCTTAAGCTATGGACTGGGCAAGACACTTTCTTATGTCAATGCAAAGAAAAAATAGAGGTGTTTGAATTATCAATATGAGCTTTGCAAGTCTGCTTTACTAGGTACCAACTCAAGGTTTTTTTTTGTTTTTTTAACTAAATTATGTCCATTTCCACTTCAAAAGCCACAAATCCCTGCTTCAGTTAATAAGAGCAATTGAGTGTTCTGTCTCCATGGACCCAACAAAATATTTGAAATCCATTGAATTACATAGTTCCCTTTAGAATCCTAAATTTCTTGTTACAGTATTTTCAGTAGGCTTAAAATCCTTCCTTAAGCAGTGAACTCATTTTATCTTTAAGACATGTCCTCATGAATATAAGCTATTGCTGCATATTTTGCTTCTTCCCCCTTGATCATCTCTGAGGTTAGCTCTGGATCACAGAAACCTTCTTATGCTATTTCTTGTTGCTTTGCAAACTTCTTTGGAAGATTTTTTTTCCTGCTTTTCTGGAGTGAACCAAGGTTGCCAAAATTACATTTAATTTACATTTCACGCTGAAAGCCTTTGCCAGTGAGCTGAGTCAAAACAGCGAGGGTGCCTGCTAGCACTGATCTAATCAGTGATCTGTCAAATTTATATTACAGACTCTGTCTGTAAGCAGTTTAAGTACGTCTCTTTTAATTTGCCCCACTCTCAAACTGGGCATCAAGTTCTTGGGCCAAATACTAATTTTCTATTTAAAAAACCCTGAAGAAATAAGTTTTGCTGGTTTTGAATTTGAAATACCCATTAAAAAGTCACAGATTTTAAAAACATATGAAACAACCCTAATTAAAAAAAAATAAAAAAAATTCAAGCCACTAGAAATTGATTTAGTGAAAGCTACAGAAGTTGCACATAGCTCTATTCACAGCTCAAGAAGAAAAGCTATTTGGTACCTCTGCAGATCCTGAAAATGCAATCTGCCTATTAACAAAAATCTCTGTGGCTTTATCTCCAGAGGACATTAAACTCAATTAACAAAGAGTGAATTTACAGCGTGTTCAAACTTTGTGTGGATGTTATTATTCACAAATGAAATGGTTTGAATCCAGTTTCACTTAATTCACTCTAAAAATGGCTTTATTTCCAAGTGACAGCACTCATGAAGAGGTTTAACTAAAGCATTTTTTTCCCCTTCATTTAACTCCACCTAACTTTCCTGTGTTTGGCTCTGGTATTAGATAAGACCAAAGCAGACCTACCACCAAATTAACCATTAGTTCAAAACACTGCCATCCACAAGCAATACCATGTCTGGCTTAACTCTGTTTAGTATGTTTTAAAGGTTTATGCTACTCAAAGGTTTTGGTCACTCTGACTTAGCAATGGCTTTATTAGCTTTTGTTCAGTAAGGCCAGATGCTGGTAAAAGTCCCCTTAACTACATGCTTGACACTGACGCATATGCTGGAGTCATAATGTACAATGTCTGTTTCCCTGGAAGCTCATGAAAACCTGTTATTCCAGTTGCAAATATTTACTGAAATTAAATTTCCAGCTTGTTCTGTGAAGCTTTAGCCATGCAATTCCTATTTATGCAAGTTGAAGCCATTCATCAGATGTACATGTAAATATATAGGCACAGAGCTAATGCAGGAGCTTCAGAAAGAGGATAATTATTTTGCAGATGCATGAGGAATCAAAGTAAATGTGCCTTGTTAGACTAGCAGAGGCTGCCTGGACCTCTTCTCCACTCCAATATTTGACTTTAATTTAAATATATACCTTCTGTTTGCTACAATTGTAAGCTTTTCTGCAGCCCATTCCAGGAGCAGAGGTTTCTGTTAGTCCATGCTAGTTCAAGGACCCTGTATCATGGCCTGATCCCATGAAGCTTATTTTCATCTGGAAAGGGAGGTTCTTCACATCTGCAGCAGCACACACCACAGATGATGTTCTCCTCTGGATAATGATAACAATAATCAGGTCTGCCATACATGCAGATTGATCTGGTAAGTTCTGTAACTGCTCTTACATAGTGGTGTCTTTTTTTTTCTTCTTCCCAGTTTCTGGCATTAAAAGAGCCTCGTTATTGCTGTTGCTTGAGCATGTCCCTACTCCTACAGCAGTTCAGAGCAGGTAGAAACTGCCACTTAGCTCAAACTGGCCCAAGGCATGCAACAGTTGTACAGTTTGTGTAAAGACCCTGTCTCTTGCATTGCTTAAAGGAAATTATTCAAGAAGTTAGATAAGCAAACATGCCTGTAATCAAAAGTGTTTTACAATTACAAACATGTCAGAGTTTATAGGGAAAAGTAATACATTTTATTAGATCAACAAACATCAGCAAGAACAGATGTGGTTTGGGCATATTCAGGTCTGAAATAGAAGTAGCTATTCAGATGAAGAACAGCCATGCTGAGGCAGTAGCTTCACAAGTGTTTCTTTTGTTGACAGCACCAATAAAAACATTTAAAAGATCATTGTAAATCCAGTTATATTTTGCCATCTGGCTCAGCCCCTCAGACAACTGAACCAGCACAGCCACACTGAGCATATGAGAATGAGGCAGCAGGGAAACCAGAGCAGAACAAATACTCAGAAATTTCACCTTCTGTTGATTGACAAACAAGTCTATAGCAATATTTAGCTCTTGTGGAGAAGACAAGGCATAGGTGGGAAGATACCGACCCAAGCAGACAGGAGGAGAGTAGAAAAGCAATGCCTCATGTGAGGCTCAAGGCCAGGCTGGATGGGGCTGTGGGCAGCCTGGTCTGGTGTTAGGTATCTAGGGAGGGGGGAACAGACGAACTTTACGGCCCCTACTGACCAAAAACCATTCTGTGGTTCTGTGATTCTATGAAAACTGTCTTGTCTGTGGTGAGGTGAGATAAGCAAAAACGCATTACAGTCCTTCCATGAATAAAGCTGAAGACCGTGACATAGTGTCAGTTGACCTGTTGGCAATGTGCCACCTTGCGTACTGTGTGCAGTTTTGGGCACCACAGCACAAGAAAGACATAAAGCTGTTTTAGAGTGTCCAAAGGATGGCAACGAAGATAATAAAAGGTCTAGAGGGGAAGATGTATCAGGAGAAGCTGAGGTCCCTTGGTTCGCTCAGCCTGGAGGGGAGGCCTCATGGCGGCCTGCGGCTCCCTCATGAGGAGAGCAGAGGGGCAGGCACTGAGCTCTGCTCTCTAGGGACAGTGACAGGACCTGGGGGAACTGAGCTTGCTGGAGTTCAAGGAACATTTGGACAATGCTCTCAGACACGAGACACATGGTCTAATTTTTTGGATGGTCCTTTGGGGACTCGAGTTAGATTTGACAATCCTTGTGGGTCAAAAAAGAAAAAAAAGATTAAAGCGCTTTCTTTTTTTCAAACCTGTTCTGAGGTATCATACATTACATGATGGATGATCTTCTCCCTGTATAGCACTAACACCATATTATACATACCAGGAAGGCACTGTGAAAAAGTACAGGTGAACCATTGTTTGGGGTGAGTGAATGTTGCCTTCTGGTTATATCACTGAATGAGGATACAGGAAACCAACCTTCAGCACCTGACTGTAGCCCAAATGGCTTGTGTGCTTCAGTTTGAAAACTTGTTAGAAGCACTCCCTTGTGTTTTAGGTTCTTGGAGAAAATGTAGTTATGAAGGAGATGGAGTTATAAGGCAAATTAAAAATCAGAGAAAAAATCAAGATAACAAATGGAAAATGCATTAAATCTCAGGTAAATTTGAGACAAATCTAAACATAAATGCAAAAACCATAGGTACAAAGTAAATATCAGAGTGAGCAAAACTAATGCTAGTCCTAGATTGCCCATTGGTATAGAATACCCCTCCCCAAAGATTTAAAAGGAATTCAAATGAGCATTCCATAAAACAAAGGGAAAGTTGCTTGTAGTTGAAACCTTTCCAGTTCACGTGTGCATGGAATACTGGCACACAATCTCATAAACTGCCAGCTGCAATTCTGGGGCATGATGCAGTGGTCATGGTTTCTCTTCAACCCTTCACAGGAAATGCTGGCTAAAGACATGCCAGCAGTTCAGCTACAATCTGAGCAGCAGCAAACTTGCACTGCTTTGCCAGATTGCGAACAGAGCAGACTCTCAGACCGTTATCTTTATTTCAGCCGGCCAAATAAATCACAACTTGACACCAGGGGGTAAATTTCCAGTGCTCCATATTTAAAGTCAAATGTCCATGACTGTTAACAACAGTTGACTGTCTCACCAAGCTTGCTGCAGAAAGTTTACTCCTATAATAAACATCAACAGCTTAATCCTGCAGCCATTTAGTAAGTGAAATCCCCACTGGCTTTAGTAGGAGCTGTGCCTAAGTGTTACAGTACCAGGCACATTACATGCAGAAGGTAAGTTAAGTGAAACTTTAAGCAGCTGTCATATATTCAGTTCATTCATCACCTAGAACATTTCTTCCTTCCGCAAATGGCAACTTTGCCTTTATCACTGAAGCAAACAAACAAATTCCTTTTGTGCCAGATCCTCATCACCTATTCTGCTATAGCCTCCAGAAAAAAACACCCACATAGCCAAGAAGTCAGTCAGTCCTCCCTTCTGAGATCATTACCTGAGTATGCTGTACATTTTGTGTGCTGTTACCCTTAGTTTTATGCTCACATAAACTATTAGATAATTCTCCTCCACTGCTGTCTGTTTGGGCTCTTTAAGGCTCTTCAGTAGCTGAGATGTTCTCCTGGGCAAATTGAGTGCTTTAGCAAGAACTGCCATAGCATTTAATGCTACAGTTACTGCTGCCAGAAATGCTTTTCCTCTGTATTATAAATTTCAGTAGGTGTCATGCCTTGTTCTCAAGTACCATTTTTCAACTTAGCCTGAAATTCACCAATATAGTAGTGTTCCTGGAAGCTTTTAATCTAGCAAATTGTCCAAAAGATAGTTTTTTCTAGAATAAACATTTTCAGTAGGGAAGGCTAAGAGAGCAGATCCATTTTTTTGTGTTGTTGTTTTCAATCCATGTTTGTCCTGGTAGAATCTATTAATCAACAATCTATTAATTTTTTTTATCGGTGTGGGTTTTTTTTTGCCTAATTTAGATCTGGTAAGGTGTGCTTCACCCAAGTCTGCTATAAACTGCAGAGACTGCATAATCATCCAAAGTCCTGTTGGTCTTACAACTCTTCGCCACCTGCAAGATTTCACATGTTCTCAAGCCATTCTATCTGCCTCTTCATGATACCACTGATTTTCAGGGAAACTGCCTTCTGATCTTTAAGAGCTATTTTTAAGTGTGCTGTTGCTACCCTGCTATGGTCCCAAATGGTAAGGGACAGTGACAATAAGGGCAGACCTAAAATACAGTTTTTAAAAATGGCTGTTAAGAAGACATTATTCTGTTCTGAATTTGCTAATATTACTGTGTTTTTTGTTTGTTTGTTGTAAAAAAAAAGGTGGCTGGCACATCATCCAGTGTAACAAGACAAAATGACAGAAGCAGTATTGTGCAAAGTGCACATTTACTGCTGCTTTTGAATTTAGAAATATCAAGTAATGCTAAGAAGAAATACAGAGGTTGTAGGTGAGTCTGTTAGGGAAGCTGTATGCTGCATTGCAGTAATGGATATGGGGTTGCCAAGGTCAACTGGAGGAATCCACAGAAATGAGAACCTTATCTATATTCAATCAGGTTAAAAGAAACCGGAGTTCTGTTTCTGAGGAAGAATGTCCCCTTCAGAATCCTGCATAATAGGACATAAGGTTAGAAAAGCCTTGTAGAATACTCTGATGTCAAACGCAAATTAAAAAGGACAACACGCTCTAAAAGCACATATTTTCAGCTAGGCTTCAGTATAGCTGAAGTTTTCTTCTGCAGTGAAATTTTGAACATGTTCAGAATTCTGTCTGAGTGGCAGATGCCAATATTTGGAATGCTCAGTATATGTTTCCCAGGCATAAAAAAATCTCTCAGTTTTTATGAACTTTAAGTACTTTGTATAAAGTTACGCCTCACTTGACACAGGAATAGGCTGAACAGTATTCTCCCAACATCACGGTGAAATGAGCAAGTTACTCAGTTCTACTGATGGAAAAACAAGTATTTAATGACTACAGGAATGCAAAATCAGAAACCCAGAACTGTTCTTAAAACTCAACAGCCTCAAATATCTGGATTTTCTTTTCCAAGGTTCATCCTTCCCTGCCTAAAGCTATGTCTAGACTGAGTTCATGATCAATGGCTGTTTCCATATGCCACAACAATGAGATTTGGGTATCCTCTGGATCTATGTGGTGCCCCTTCGATCTCTGGTGTAAGCTGTTTCCTCAACTGTGCCCAGGCAGATTCTTGCAGAAAAAAGACTGGCTTGGACTTGCATGACATCTAAGTGCTGTGCATGCTCAGTGGCCTGACTCCTCCCTGGCCTTATTTTATTTAGCTGTGTTCACAAACATTAAACACTGTCAGAGCTTAATATCACACACACACATGATTTTATATATGGAATTGAGAGGTTCCGGTTCTTTTTGTCACGTTTGGACATTGGAGTGTATGATGCAATTTTTCTGAGATTGTACAGAATTGATTAATGCTCCAAGTAAAGTCACTAACTTTTAAAATATATATATAAATCAGGATAAAATGCAGCTTTCTTATACAATTGTTGGGCATTTTGTAATGAAGGCTAAGCCAGACTATAAAACTCATTTGAAACAGGAGAGTTCAGATTCTGAGAAATACTCTAAAAATTTGCTGCATTCTAAAATCAAAGGGTCTGGGCACATATCTGGACAGTGCTAATGCTGTGAGCATACCTTTTATTGGAGGTGACAGGTATCCTCCAGCCTTTGATCTGGCTAAGCTCTGTATCAGATATTTCTATCTGCAGCGGGAGGCGTGGAACCCAGACCGTCACTTCTAATTGGGTGGTAAAATGCTGGTAAGTGAAGTTAACAATAGTATCCACTTTGCTTTTCATTTCCTTGCCATTAACGAAAATGGAGTCACATCTGTCAGAAACCTTAAAAAAAAAAAAAAAAAAAAAAGATTAATTAGGAAATGAATAAAAGTTCTTGCAGAAGCACAAAGAATGATATATCAGTCCAAAGACAATGCTGATAATGTGAGTCATCCACATTGTATTTCCAGTTTTCTAATTAGTAGCAAACAGTGATAAATGGATGCCAGGGAAACAGTTTTGCCTTCCTCAATGGATCCTACTCAAACTACAAAAATAATTTAAAGATGTTATATAACCTATGTGAATCTCTTATACTAGGCAAATTAAACTCTTCATGAATCAAACTCCATATGCATCAAAGTTTATGTTACCAACTTGCTTAAAGAACCTGGAAAAATGGGGCCATATGTTAGTAAGAAAAAGACTGACTCAGAACCATAAAACAGAATCCTCTTCTTTTTCCTTGAGCACTGTAATACTGAAAGACAAAAGATCCCCTTATGGCTTATGAGCTGAAGTGCAGCAGAAACGTTAATTTTTAGAACTTCTCTGTAATTGTTTTAGTAAAATGCATTCAAAGTTGTTTTGTGTCATTTTATGAAATTACTGACAGAACTAGCATAGTGGCTCTGTACTTGAGTTCCTCTATCCTTTTCATCACAGGGCACAAAACCCAGGGAGCACGGATCCTGTTTATATAAGGAATCTGTCTGGAAGCATATACAGGAAGGATGCAACGTCTCAATAAGACAGATTTTTTATTTATTTATGAACATGTGTGTGTATACTCTTTTAGATTATATATACATACATTTAGATTAAAGTTTACATATACATGTATGCATATACATGTACACACATATATATTCATGCATATATACATGTATTAATTACAGGCCTGCATTCTTCTTCGAAGCAAGAGAGAGGTGATAACCTCCAACACAGTTCATGTACTGTGGATTAAATCTTTTAAAACCATGGCTCATAAGATGTAGTTCTACTACCAAAATGGACTCTGTTCTCTTGTCAGGACTGTTCTTTGTCATGTTGGATTCAGGTTCAGGTATGAAGGGATTCTGGCTAAGCCAGTGATTCCAGTTTACTGGAGTTCATAGAATCACAGAATCATAGAATACCCCAAGTTGGAAGGGACCCGCGAGGACCATTGAGTCCAACTCCCAAAAGGCCACCCAGAAACCATGTGTCTGAGAGCATTGTCCAAACACTTCTTGAGTGCCAGCAGGGCTGTGACCACTGCCCTGGGGAGCCTGTCCCAGTGCCCAACCACCCTCTGGGTGCAGAACCTTACCCTAACACCCAGCCTGACCCTGCCCTGTCCCAGCTCCAGGCTGTTCCCTCGGGTCCTGTTGCTGTCCCCGGAGAGCAGAACTCAGCACCTGCTCGGCTCCCCTTGTGAGGGAACTGCAGGCTGCCATGAGGCCTCCCCTCAGCCTCTGCTCTGGGCTGAGCAAAACAAGGGCCCTCAGCCACTCTTTATGAGTTACTAACTCATGTAGACTTCAGTGGGGTATATGCTGAAACACAGGTTGGTTTTGCTGTGCAAATGTACCTCTAATATTTTCTGATATTAAAAGGAGTAAGAGGATATTGAGCCAAGAAAAAATATGGTAAATGCATAGCAGCTTTTTGTTTTGTTTTCTCAGAAACTGTCCTTACTTAATACTTTGAAATTAATTTTGTTATGTTTTGAAATTCAGATGGAATTTCTCCTGAGTTCTAACACGGTATCGTGCTGTTTGATAAATGGTACCTGAATTCTACTATCATAAGGTACACATTTAGATAACAAAATTTTGCCAAACTGGCTTATGTAATGCTTTTAAGATTTATAGGTAACTTGGCTAAGAATCAGCTACTTCGGAAGGTGAAGAATACAAGCAACCTTTATACATATAATTTAGCAAACAGTTTAATTTGCAGAATGACCATGATGATGGTAATTCTGACATTATGGCAACTCCCAAGCCAAGCATGGAGGGAGTAGCAATAGGGAAACATTGTGCCAACTTATCTGTTGGTATATACCCACTGAACATTGACCATACCAAGTAACTGTTTCGTGCTTTAACTGATACCTCACAGTCAAACTTTTCTTGTTGTCCCTTTTATAACAGCACTGTACAACTAATGTCATTCTTCTGTACTGCTAATTATTAGATAATAGCTTTGCTAAAATATTGTCAAGTGCTTTTAGAGTCTTGTTAGAAAAGCGCACTAATGTTTTTCTCTCCATAGGCAATACCCGTGTATAAAGTGAAAGAGTTTCACTTCCACATTTACCATTTTCAAGTCAGTTTCTCAGCTCCTAAACAATGTACAATCTTTATTTACTTATTTATTTATTTATTGCTAAGGGTGTAATCCAGTTTATGAGGACTAGGGCAAAGGAAACTAATTCACTTTTTTTCAGAGAATACTACTTTCACATCAATGCTGAACAAGTACAAAAACAAAAAAATAGCTATCTGATGAAAGAGCTTAAAATGCACTTCAGGCTCAGGAGAAACAAATGAGATAGAGCATACTCAGAATCCTTCTTTCCCCTTCAAAACGTGTCACAAGTGTCTCTGGGAAAGTTAAGCACATTAATAAATCCCATTAAGTGAATGAGCAGTTGAGATTCTAAATCATAATGCCCACATATAGGAAGTTTTGTGCAAATTAATACAGGACAGAAATAATTGAGAAAGCCCAAAGAGGGAAGGATAAATATCAAGACCTGATCAAGGGAATAAGCATTATCTGACACGACAGCATCAAATATTTTAGATTTATCGTCTTACAGCTTAAAATGCTCATGCATTTTTGTCACTATGGAGGAAGGCTGGTAAATTAGGGAACACGAAGATGGACTTAAATTGTAGCTGAAAAATGATCATCAGGTTTGGCTTACAAATTTCACAGAATCACAGAATTTCTAGGTTGGAAAAGACCTCAAGATCATCGAGCCCAACCTCTAACCTAACACTAACAGTCCCCACTAAACCATATCCCTAAGCTCTACATCTAAACGTCTTTTAAAGACTTCCAGGGATGGTGACTCCACCACCTCCCTGGGCAGCCTGTTCCAATGTCTAACAACCCTTTCAGTAAAGAAGTTCTTCCTAACATCTAACCTAAAACTCCCCTGGCGCAACTTTAGCCCATTCTCCCTCGTCCTGTCACCAGGCACGTGGGAGAACAGGCCAACCCCCACCTCACTACAGCCTCCTTTAAGGTATCTGTAAAGAGCAATAAGGTCGCCCGTGAGCCTCCTCTTCTCCAGGCTGAACAAGCCCAGCTCCCTCAGCCGCTCCTCGTAGGACTTGTTCTCCAGGCCCCTCACCAGCTTCGTCGCCCTTCTCTGGACCCGCTCAAGCACCTCGATGTCCTTCTTGTAGCGAGGGGCCCAAAACTGAACACAGCACTCGAGGTGCAGCCTCACCAGAGCCGAGTACAGGGGGACGATCACCTCCCTAGCCCTGCTGGTCACACTGGTTCTGATACAAGCCAGGATGCCGTTGGCCTTCTTGGCCACCTGAGCACACTGCTAGCTCATATTCAGCCGACTGTCCACCATCACTCCCAGGTCCTTCTCTGCCAGTCAGCTCTCCAACCACTCATCTCCCAGCCTGTAGCTCTGCTTGGGGTTATTGCACCCAAGGTGCAGGACCCGGCACTTGGCCTTGTTAAACTTCATGCAGTTGACCTCAGCCCATTGGTGCAGCCTATCCACAGATTATATGTCTAGAAAGAGCCATTTAGTTATTTTTATATTGACCAAGAGGTAGGTATAAATCTGTATATATAACTATGCCATATGAGTTCACCCAGTGCCCCTGTGCAGGCTTTAGAGCTTATGTTTCACTTAAGCGTATCTTCTAGAAAATTCTCCACTCTTGATAAGAAAGTTTGAAGACAGACATAATGATTATTTCAGTTCTCTACCTGGAGTTTGGTTTTACTCTGTTAAGGTACAACCAAACAAAGGAATTTGAAAGAAAATTAAGTTTGACTGTGCAAGTAAGGGTGAAAATTTGATTTCCTGAGGTGATCGGCTACGGGGCAGACGCGTTCTGCAGCAGAGCGGGGGATTGGACAGGCAGGGCTATGTTTTCCGGCATTGAGGCCATTTGAGGGACCAACTGGTACCCAGCAGCCCTCGCGAGGGAGGCAGACGAGGCGTAGGCAGAGCCAGCAGCGCCCTCTCCCTGGCCGTTCAAAAGCAGCCCCTAGGGAGTGGGAGTGACCACGGCAGGCAAACAGGGTGTGGTGTGCCAGTAGAGAGTGGCGCGGCAGTTCGCGCAGGCAGGGCGAGTAGGGAGGGCAGAGCATTCTTCCCCTGCCCATACGAAGAGCTCTAACGGCGGTCTACTGCTACCTAAGCTGCAATGGTCTCCACCAGGCACAGTGCTCTCTCTAGGAAGTTTGTACACACCCAGACTGACTGCCCACTCAAAAATGCAGCAGTTCAGGTCTCCAGATGCAGGGAGTGCCTGAGCCTTTTGCTACCATCTGCGGGGGGCAGAGAGACTGTGTGTGTGAAGTGCGAGCAGGTGGATGACCTGGTCTGCCTGGTGGCAGAACTTAAGGAGCAGGTGGAGACGTTGAGGGCTATCAGGGAGTGTGAGCGGGAGATAGACTGGTGGAGCAACTCCCTGCAGGACCTGAAGGAGAGGTACCGGGGTGAGGCACCCCAAATGGGGGTGGATCCTCTGCCCTATTGCAGTCGGGCAGAGGAAGGGGACCTGGAAGTTCAGGAGGAATAGAGACAGGTCCCTGCTTGACATCACAGGCGATGAACCCCCCCACCAGCCCCACCTTCCCAGGTGCCCTTACACAACAGGTTTGAGGCCCTGGAGCTTGAGAGACCGGTAGGTGAGGAAGAGGTAGAAAGTCTGCCCAGGAGGATGCCTAGGGTAGATGCCTAGGGAAGTTGACTCCACGCCTCAGGACTGCCTCCACCAAGACAAAAAGAAGGGTGATTGTTGTAGGCGACTCCCTTCTCAGGGGAACAGATTTTTTTTCTGTTTGTCAGCCTGACCCTACCCATAGGGAAG